ATATGTGTTGTATTTTATATCGGTATATCAATTGTTACTATGAGAATATGTTAATTAGTCTTACTAATTTGACCATATATTGTATTATATTTGTTTGTCTGTTGAATTTTGATATCTGTTTATCAATTGTGACTTTTGAAATATGTTAATTAGTCTTACTGATTTGACTATATATTGTATTATATTCGACAATTGTCTGTCGAATTTTGATATCTGTATACCAACTGTGATTACGAGAAAATTATAATTAGTCTTACTGCTTTGTCCATATATTGCATTATATTTGTCAAATGTCTGTTGTATTTAGATATCAGTATATCAATTGTGACTATGGCAATATGTTAGTCTTACTGTTTAAACCATGTATTGTATTATCAAAGCTGGTTTAGAGACTTGCTTAAATTTTCAAAGAAAACAAATTTCAATTGGGGTAACCAACATTTTACTTACAGTAACCAATAAGTTTCATAATGATAAAAATAAATGCAAGTACGGTAGTTGCAGTGGAGAATGAGAAAAACAGAAAACAATAAACTTGTAAAAACTCTGAAGTATTCAACTGATAATCTAACAAACGCAAATTTGACTCACAGACAGCATCTTAATTTATCATGATTGCATTTTCCCTCATGTGCATAAAATGCACTGGTGTATCACGCATGGATGGATATGCAAATGATCTGGTGTTGCTGAGTACCAAACAGTGTGCCATGAGACAATCTATGCAGTCAATCACACTACAACACAACAAGAAATTGAGACTTTTGGTGATTAGAGACAAAGTAAAACTTCCGAATTTCGGAAAATTAACAACTACTGAAAAGAACGAAAACAATGCACCCTGTTATTGGACAAGTAAGTTTGTCATTGTTTGCTTTATATATACATAATAAAAAAATGTGACTTCATTAAAAGCTTACTTGAAATGCTATGGACGAGATAGATCACCAGTTTACAAATAATCTCTTTCAGTCAAATCCCTTTTTCATAACTTTGCTTCAACAAAACATGTACATAATTTTATTCACACTTGGTGTTCAGTTTAGGCAGGTTTCACCAAATCAATTAAAAACTAAATAAAAATCATAAAACTGATTCCAGATAACAAATATTGAACGTTTCTGCCAAGGAATCCAGACATGTAAGTTAAAAATTAGACTTTTTGTTGCATTTGAACAGCCATATTAATATGCAAATTACATGTACATTGAAGGTCATGTGACTTCATTTAATTAGTATCAGTTTGCTTGAACATAACCAATGTCAAGTAATGTGCTAATTTCGTCTTAATAAAATTTGATGAAACAAAAATTAAACTGAACTTTTTACAAATGTCTGCTTAAAGATGAGCTTAGTAATGAAAAAAAACCACCACCACACCAATAAATACAAGCATGTATGTATCATAAATCTCTATAAAATGATTACATTATATGCTAATTTCAGATTACATGATGTTAGATCGGTCAAATAAAACCATGTGATCAGCACTATTTAACTGTGCTATATTATTGTTCTTCCTATCCACTACAAAAGATGTAGATATGTCATAAAAATGTGGAATTAATTAATAATGGTAATACAGCAATGATTACTTACACCACTGAATACTAATTACTCATTCAAACAATATGGCTTCAGGAATATCACATGATCACAATGCATACTTCTGATTGGCTTCAGGAATATCACATGATCACAACACATATTCCTGATTGGTTACATCATAAATTGATAAGCCAAGTAAAAGAAAACATTCCAAAATTAAAAATAAACCTGATTGTCGTGGCATATGAGCAAACGTTCACTGTCTTGCAAACTTATATGTATGGAGTATGCAATGCTACGTGGTATCCCGAATCCTGCTAACATACAGAGTTACGGAAGACTCCGGATAAGGCAGTTATATGGTGAAATACTGAAAGCTTGAACAGCTTGGCTTCTGGAGAAAAGTCTTCCTTGTGTCCGTTCTGTTGGAGTACTACATATGCTCTACACACAGTTCTCTAGCAACATTCAAATGCCCCTTAACTGTATGATGATCAGTTCCTGGGCCCTTTAAGCAGGTAGAAATCATCCTGTTCTTTCCATTGTCGCCATGCCTTTTCCTGTTCTTGTACCTGCGCTGGTGTGAGTGGTTCTTCACTGTGTTCATTTAACATATAGATGCTTTCTTTCCATTGCTGAAAGGCTTCCTGCTCCCTAGCTTCATCTTCTAAAGCTTTTATTTCCGCATCGCTCATTTTTGGTCTTTCCACAGGGGGACTTAAAGGGCCTTTCAGATAATAAGTCTGGTCATGTTCCTTGGATTTCCATTCTACCCAAATGCCCTTGGATTCCTGTTTCCTTTTCTTTCTCACAAGTCCTTTCTCTTTCAGATCAGTTTCCAAATGTCCCTGATAAAAGATGAACATAAATACTGGTGAAGGAATGTCAAAGTCAACTTTAGTCAGTTATGCAAAATAAAAAAGTAATTACAGAAAAATTTTCAAAATATCATAGCAAAAATATCAAAGAGTTTAACTAACTGATGTCTCCTAAAACATTGTTGTTCAAACTGCCTTTGAGGCAACTGTTTTTTGGCACCTAAACAGCAAGTTTCATCAGTTCGTCAACAGAAGGCACTGTGCAGTAGGGTAAAATAAGTGAAAAGAAATAACCAACCAACACCCCTTACTTGTTATACTAGACTAGAACACTAAAATGATTTATTTTGACTATATACACACCTGTCCATTAGTGCACATGCAACTAATAAAGTAAATAATATTTATAATAATAATTTGACACTCTCAATGCATTAGTGTTTTATGTTTTGAGGAAATATTCTTCAACATAACTAGACAAGAATAGATGATCTGTCATTTAACTGTCTATTTCTTACCTTCACAGCTGCACCAACATTGCTAAGATCTAATAGGAAGGTATCATGCCCATATATGGAGTTGATTTCATAGTAAGTCACAGCCTCGTTTCCTGTAAACACAAAAACAAACCTGCTATTAGACTTTGCAAAGATGCTAACAAATTTTGGTTTGCAGATTTTTGTTAAATTTATAATCGATCGAATTATGATTTCAGAAAAATAGTGTGATTTTTTTTATTTAAAAGAATATCGATCAAAATTGTCAGTCATGTGGAAATCAATCGATAGTCGATCCAAACGACTTTGAATAAAATACAGACTAGTTTTTTTTTGCTTTTTAGCAATATTAAAAATATATGCACTTGGTTTTTCAAGATTTTAGGGGTCATTTGCATATCCATTTGTTTTTCTGTTACTTAAAAACAAAAATAGATCACTGAATTGTCACAATTTACATGGTTTTACTATAGTGCTTGATTTCTGACACAGAAATTGACTAAATTCATTAAATTTTGAAAGGTCAATTATCAGCATCTCAAAATAGCACCTGTTCAATTTTGCAGTGATTACATGATTTTAGAACTTTCAGGATCAACATATGCATCTTGTTTTAATGCGAAGCGATTGCGAATACAGAAAAATTAATAATTAGGAAATAAAGGGTAATGCAGTGCCCATCATTACACGAAAACAGGGCAAAGACAAATATGTGTGCAATAAGATAGTTGAAAATATTGTCACAAAATAAATAAATCTGACAGAGCTTCACCTTAGGTACATTCATATCAGGCATCAAAGCATATGAGCTGGTAGTTTTCAAGAGGAAGTCGAAATAATTTACAAAAATTAGAGAATATATGGTCACAGAATGAATAAATCTGATATGATGGAGACACATTTTTACACAGTAAATGATGACATACCTGACTGTCGTAATAGGTCACCTATCTCTCTTTGCTGCCAAACAGGAAATAATATATCGGTCTGAACGCCAAGTACCATCACTGGACATTTTATTCTAGAAACACCGTCCAACAACGATGGGAATCCATCACCCATATCAAACATATCCATTGCCTGAAAGAAATACATAAAAAACAAAAATTGCATTTATTGTATATTAGAAATATGAATTATGATAAAAGATGATGTACACGCTATTATTGCATGATTACAGAGCAAGCGATTAGGATGTGACAAATAACGAGAGAGTCGTAGAGTCTGTTATTTCAGCAAACGTTCCCACTTAAGATTTGTTATCACTTTCTTATGGGCATTGAAGAGTCCTTTATATTATACTGCAAAATGGTGACAGATTAAATATGCGCACAGTAGTAACACTCAAGAACAAAGAAATTGAACATTTTGTGTTTCAGTTAAATGTAGAACATTCATGAGGTAATGAAAATTTCCAGTTGAAAATGGCCTGCATAGAATACTGTAGAATACTTTATTTTCGCTTGGAATTTATTTTCGCTGAAGGGGTGATTTCATGAAAATAAAATCCAGCGAATATACTTTTTTTCCTATATTTCATATTAAACTCACCAAAAATCAGTGAAAATAAATTCCATACAAAGCGCCCAAAAAGCCTTTTCAGCGAAAATTAATTTCAGTGAAAATAAAGTATTCCACAGTAATACGAGTTTGTTGTTTAAAAAATCCAAAAACGTATGGAAAAACATTGTTGATTCTCACACAATTTTGGACATCTGTTCGGGAATTCACCTCAAGCACAGTCTTGTTATCACTTGCTAGCAAGGCTCCCTTGAGAACCCTGCATTTCAATAATTGACAGCGAATCAGAGATAGTGTTACAAAACTCACCTTTGAGATGTACAACAAGGAGTTAGGATCATATTTAACTGCAAAACTTTCTCCTTGATAATCTAAATAGCTTTCAATGAGGAAATGAGGACACAAACTGGGTGACTCTCCACCATTCAGTTTTTTTCTACCAAATCTATGTTCCCATTCAGGCCCACTCCTGTAGCTGATGGTGGCTATCTCTCTGTGAACATGAAAAAACAACATGTATGAATAAAACCAGAATCCTGGTTTCAACTCTATGTTTTTTTTTTTAAATATTTCATGCATTAATTTGTTCGCTTTTGGATCTTCGAACAGACGCAGCTTGTCCATTTTGAAGATTTTCATAACTTTGTTTTCACAAAAAAAGTTAATACCATATTTTCTCTACTAGTAGAATATGCCCTTACATGGACAAAATAAGTCACATCTTAACATTTCACTAGATAAGTTTTTGCTTTATATGCACCTCTATCAGAGATGTGCATCTAATAGAATTAATATAATTATGTAAATCTAATTTGTGGAAAAAGGCAATGAGCAATGTCATACTGTCCGCGTTTCTGATAGTGGATACTGATGTACATTTTTAGTTCAAACACAGTGTACAAACACAACCAAGATACTGATAAACTTAAAAATAACATGTGAAGATTCACATCTGGGATCCAAAAAGTTCGGAAGACCCCCTAAGTTACTGCAGTTTTTAGGGTGAGAATACTGCTACATCATTGGTTAGGGGTGCCATTAAATAGATGACATCACCTTGTCACTTTGTACCCCATATGATATAACAGTAAGTGAACAACTAATAGACTCAAGGTTGTATCAAATGTCAGATAATTCATGAATCACGATTCTAATTATCCAAGATGAAATGTAGATCACAAATATTTTATTTATAATTATTTAATTGTGTTGAAACAGGGGTGTAGATTTAATATTCTATTATATCATGGTAACAAAATTTCAAACGTCAAACCTTGCCAAACTAAAACGCTTGCACTGTGTGGACAACTAACATTTCTCTCAAATAACAAAGTAGGGTAGATTGTTTGTACAAAATTCAATTGCATCTAATCTGACTAATATGTGAAATCTTACCGTGCGAGTTTCATTCCCATCTTAGGATATGCTTTGCCGTAGTAATGACCTTTGTTCCAATTAGGATCACTCATAATACAGCGTCTTTGTAAATACCTCATTGCAATGGACGATGGGTGGGAATGCACACAGGCGGAAATTGATATCACTCTGTGTAAAGAATTCAATGCAAGGTTACAGTATATTCCAATCAAACGGAGAAATTATGTGTAAAATATTATACAAAAAAATAAGGCATTCACTGCAAGACAAAGTCTTGATGATTGGAGTTGAAAATAGATACCAAACAAGTCAAGGGTATGCAACTAGTGTGATATGTGATGGAGATCCCATTGGAAATCGCGCGAGAGATCACATAATTGAGAAACAAAAAACTATTATAGAAATATTAAATGCAAATCGGTGCATCTGTGAATAAACTGATTAGTGTTTTTCTCCGATAGTTTTTGCTACTGTGTATAACGTTTCTTTTTTTTAGAACAATAAGTTCATTACGCAATCAAACATATCCAAGTGTCTATTGCACTCTGAAAGTGCATACTTATCAAAGAAACATATAAAAATACATTGATATCAAAATTTATCCTTGATTTATCATTCGCTAATTTTGATATTTAACCATAACTTACCTTCCAACTCTATCTGGATTGAGAGCGGCAGCCATTAAAGTTGACATCCCACCTAACGATGACCCTACAGCTGCATATAACTGCAATAAAAATAAATTTTGAATTATATACCATTCAAAAATAGGAAATAAAACATTTTTTTTTTTGGAAAATGAACATTTATTCTAACTAACTTAGTTGATTATTGAAAAATAATTATCATGCATGTTTTTCAGAAATTTATTTACATTTCAATGAAGCAAACCCCAATCATCAGAAAATCCATCTCAGAAGGAAAATGCATTTAAAGAAATTATCATTACTTGTATGAAAACATTTCTAACTCTATTTAACAAATGCTAGATTTGTTTTTCTTCACAAGGTGAGTCGTATTTCCAGAGACACAAATTTTGAGTAATAAAATAATCATGCCTAAAAAGCAAAAAAAGAAATCATACCTTTGTAATTCCCAGATTGTCAAGTAACAAAAACTGTGCTTTTACCATATCTTCAACTGATATGATGGGAAATGTGGTGCCATACTCTTTGTCAGTTAAAGGATTGATGGATGATGGACCCCTGGAATCATAAAACACCAAGACATTGTTGTCAAGTATAGCGCAGGTGATTTAGTAATCTAAACAAGTGTATAAACAGCTCCCTCTAGTGGTGACAAGCTATATGTAGAAATATGAACTGTTGAGGGCGCCAGTCATCTGTTCCACATATACATATTGGTTCAAAAACAAAGGATCAGATGATTAACAAGGTAGATGATTTATGTTGACTGAAAAAAAATACATTTATATGTTTATTAGGAGCAATAAATGAAGATTATCATTTTTCTGACCTTGACCAGGATTATTGAAAATCTATAACAGTTAACAAGAGGCTTCAAATATTAAGTATTTTATTGCTTCTGCATTTTAGGAGATAATAGGAGTCAATATTGAATTATTTTGCTTACGTTGTCCCATAGCAACCTCCTAAGTTATTGGCACAAATCACAAAGAATTTATCAGTATCTACGGCACATCCTGGACCAACAAACTTCTCCCACCAACCTGGCGCTGTATTGTTCTGTATAAAACATAAAACAAATTCAATAAGTAAATAAAGTTGTTGATGAAGCGGATGTAACTTTCCAAGTTCAATTATATTTAGTATTGAACTCATTGCAAATTATAAATGGAAAACAATTCTATAACTTCTGAAGACAGAGAGTTACACATATAAATCATGTATTAGTGGACTAATTAATTTATTCTCTAAGAATAAATTCAGTCTCAACAATTATATTAAAATAATTCACTGTAATGTGCAGACAAAGTACCAGTAAATATAAACGTCAGGAAAAGCTGATGGAGTCTAACAGTACTGTAAAGGGGTTAATTATTCACTGGGTTTTAATTTTGCTTATTTTGCTGACTGGAAATTATGCTAAATTAAAACCCAGTGAATATGTAAAATTGAGCATAGAACACATTATCTAAATGACAAAACTGAATTTAAAACCCACTGAATATGCCTGAAATGGTAAATCAGTATTTTATATGTAACATTTTTATTTTATAAATGCATCATTTTCTTTTTCTGTCTAAACATTTGCAAGTTTGAGATTTTACTGTATACTCACTTCAGCTTATTCAGACAAACCCAAAACTTGTGAAAAATTTACTTTTACATTTCTTAAAATTAACATCTGAACAACCCACAACATTTTAATGACTTCATCTACTATCTGTATGCAAAATTACTATTCTATAGTACTTTACTTTGTAACTTTCATTTATATCTCTAGAAATTGGGCCAAAAAGGGGTATTTTTTACCCTTACACACTAATATATTAATTTTGTCATGTTGCAGGGATAATTTTCTGTCAAAAATCAGCAAATACAATCAGTCATTGGTACTAAACTATAAATACATTACACTAGAATTTTCATTTACAGTGATTTTGTACCTACCGGAAAGTACCAGGATATGCGACGTCTTTGGGGTTTTGCACAAGGAATACATTACTTACCTCGTGGCTTTTTGCATGAGAACTTGCTGATAGTCCGGCATTGATAATAATAGCATTGTCTTTATTTTTATTCAGTTCGCCCCAGGTTTCATACGCAATGTTCAACTCAGGAAGAACTCCCTCATTGTGTTTCAGATAAAATGGCCGAGTAGAGTGGAAATTATTGAATCCAGACTCAGTCTTCTGGTATTCTGGCTCCGGACCTGTGGAATCCCTATAATTCAAAAATGTCATTTTTATTATTAAGTATACAAGTACAAGACAAGAGGAAGGGCGAGTACATTTACATTATAGAATAGAACAGAATCATTACATCTTCTTTTTAAAATAGTTCATTTTATTTATTTAAGTTTATCATGCAATAAATATTAGTAACTGCATATTGTAGGATGCAATTCACCTTCCCCTATCATATTAGTTGTAGTATGGTACATCTAAGGACTGACTTAAGGAAGTTTGTAGTCAGTGTCAGCACATACAAGTATGTATATATACTACCAAAAAAAAAAAAAGACTTGTTTACAGTGATAATAAAGTATCTTATTATTATTATATATTCATGTATGCTAATTCTAAATAAAAGTCACGAACAGACTATTTTGGGGGAAAGTTTGCTCACTCTTTTTTTTTAAATTCAAGCAATAAAATTTATACTGCCAACAGTTTTTTACAGACACATTTATGCATTACCACCAGAGCATATTTTGTCCACTAGAAGCACATGAGGTTATAGGTACAAATAATAATTCATAGAATTATTATACAAATATTATATTATTATAGCATTATATAATTTTGCATTCGTTTAAATTTTGTGTAAATATTATGCATTTGACCCATATGGTATGGGAACCCATATCAAATGCAAGTGACCACCACTGCCAGTGTGGACGAGAAATGCTACGTTTTATGACATAGGCCATGTACAGCTGCAAAATGTATGTGCACAACAGAATTGTCAGTATGTTAATTACACATGGTTTAATTTAGCAAATGGGCTCAATAACATAACATTTAAGTTGACATACTAACAAGTGATTGGAGCAGCAGGCCAGAGATGCAAGATAGAAATTATGTCAAAGTTCACTTAATCGCATCTCTATAAGAATACACAGCCCTAGTATTTGTAGCCTCAAGATAAACCTAAGTGTTCAGTGAGTAGAATTATTGATGACCACTCTAGGAACATAGTGCTATATTTTCTCTCTATTAGAAGATCAATATCTACAATACAAGCCTATATTAAAGCTAAAAATCACATTTGTTGTACGGTATACTGAATCATTAAATTATTTATTTTGAGACACTTCTTTAAATTATATTTAAGTGTATGTGCTACTATTAGAGGAGCAAATATGGACTTTAACCTTTGATACACGCATAGTACGGCCACAGCACGAGAATAGTCCTAGTAGTTACTAGTTGAACCAAAGGATTCAGCGTGTTTCAGTACTCATGACAGCAATGTGAATCCAGACTTTGGCCTCTGATGCACGTGTAGTACAGATGCAGCACACGGAAAGAACGCGTGGTATTAAATCAATCAAGTTAATCTGGTACTTGCTCAGCTATTTGGATTGTAGTTCAAGAGCAATACACACAAATTGAAAGATAACTTCACTAGCAATAATCAGGGCACTGTTCACACATGCTGACATATGAAGGAATAGACTGCTACATAAATACATTGCAATGGTTTATATTTAGCTTGGAGTTCACATTGACATGCACTTACGTCATATTCAGCTGTCATTTGGTTGTACATTTGCCATTGTTTTACCCTCCTATAGCTAAACTACCGTTAGCCCAGGTTGACACCAATCTTATCTGTCTGTACACACATGTTTTTAAACGGTGTGTTAATATTAACTCTGGGTCTAGCCCAACATTATACTTAAAATGTGAATACCCCTACAAAATGTGTATATAACATTGAAAAAAAAAAATCAGTGAGCATGAATTAAATTTAGTAGTACTCATTAAGAAAGTTTTACACTGTTGTCGTCTCTAATAACGATATCCCAGGGAAGACATACTTGGTCTTTAAAGCAAAGCCTATTACAGAGCAATACATGTATATACGTTTTCAATGACATTTCGGTTCAGCAAAGATTTGATATCGATCAGATATAGAGATTTACTCTGACTTGGCAATAACGCATAGCAACAAGAATTAATGTTTGAGCAAGAGTAAACAAACTCAAAACAAGCCTTGTCATTCTGATTCGCAAATTAAAACAACAACAAAGGGGAAACGTGCATGCAAATACTCGTGTATCTCGAAACCCTTAACCACTTAGAATCCTCAGGGTAACATAGCACAACTATCCCTACCTTGACCTTAAAAAAACTGTAAAACTATTCAAACTGTTACATAATTCGTCATGACATTATCGGTCGCGCGTGGGTGATAGCGATAACACCAGAACGAATGGTCTGAGGTATTACATAATATGTAAATAGTAATGACGATAATTGATTTTCAAAATAATTTACTGAGCGATGAAAACACTGAATGAAATTAAAATGACTACTGTAAAATACTTCTTATTTTTTGGGTGATTTGTATGGAATTTATTTTCACTGATTTTTGACGAGTTGAATGTAAAATAAAGGTATATTCGCTGGATTTTCACTAAATCATACCTTCAGCAAAAATAGTGAAAATAAAGTATTTTACAGTAATTTAACGAGAAATAATTACTTGTACTTATTATTTAGTTCAACTGTTCAAAGCCAAGAATAATTTATTATAACAAAGACTGATGCATATAGTCACAGCTCACGTTCACAGCTCTATGCACAGTCTGAAAGCTGCAATCCTACAATTTAATCTGATTCTGTGGGTCATGCATTATTCAATATTGTTATAATTGCGATATACCATCAATAGGTATGAAGCGTGTAATGCGTGGTGATGATAATAATCTAATTCAAAATTATGATGTCATCTCGAAAAATACCAAAACATAGTTAATTTGATGACTTTGTAATACTGTTTTTAAAATAACCAGTTTGAATATGGTAAATTTTCACTATAAATCGCTAATTTTAGACAATCAGCAATGCGAGTTTTGGCGTTAAAGTTACCCGTACAGACTTTGCCGTTTCTAAATCTCGCAACCTAACTTGGTAACGCACAGGATTGTCATAAAATGTGTTAAATGATACTAATGTGTCCCTCACCAAAATTGTTTAGCAATAAGGCTATAAATTGTCAGTAATCAGTATTCAAGAAAGTATTTTAAATTTGCAAATGAAATGCAGAACGCAATAAGAATCATGTGACATGCTCACTGCGTTTATGATTCTGATGTATTTATGATGACAAAATCTGCAAAACATGGGATAAACAGGATCTTCAATTCGTGACCATGTTATGGTAGGTAATTGAAAATTTATAAAACAGGTAATGGTCAATTTAAATGGTAAACACTACAAAGGGGTTGAGTGTGATTTTAAATACTGTCTTCACGAAAATCAGCAGTAAGATTACTGAAGCTACATAACGAATACTAAAATAAAGATAACGACACAAAGGCAGATTTTACTGGTACTTAAAACTTTAGAGAACAAGGTATTTATGGGACACTCAGATTATACATACCGTACTTCACAAGATGTTATCATTATATTGACAGATAGGAGTGGACCATACTACACCTTAAGTAGAAGCAAAGCAAACGTAATGAACTCTTCGTTATGAAAAGGTCAGGAGGGGGGGGGGAAGACGATTTAATTACTTTTTAATTTAGTTTTTTTTTTAATTATTTTGTTTTTCGCACTTGCACACTTTTTATTCAGGGTGATGGCAGGAGTATATTGAACATTAAACAAAAAAAATTTACGTTTGTTTTAAGTGTGTTTTAATTATCAATGGAATTTTGACGATATAATTTTGGTGTATACGGGTCATTCAGACTTGCACACTGAACACGTGCTAATAACACCTTACAACAGTTTATAATTTCAGCTTTATTTGGACGCCACTAAATTACAGTGTGTTAATTATTATAATTATCTTGGCATTGTTTTTCAAACAAATGGTAAGTTTCATAATGCTATGTCTAGGCGACAAGACAAAGCACAGAAAGCACTGTTCAAGATGTACAAAATGCTTTGGATCAGTGAGGAATGTTATTCTGTTAGTCTGGCTAAAAAACTATTTAACTCTATTATCAAACCCACAGCTTTATATGGCGCTGATGTGTGGGGAGGGGTTATGCTGAACATCTACAAGGGGTCTGGTAAAAATAAATGTACAGTTGACAATTGCAATTTTGAAACAAAACTTTTCTCAGATAAATTAATTCCAGAAAAACTTCATATTAAATTATGTAAAAGAGTTCTGGGTGTGCACAGGAAGGCATCTAATGACC